GCACTCCAGGCTTGGCGACAGAGTGAGACTCCAACTCAAAAAAAAAAGAAAAGGATTGGTTAAATAAGAAAAATCCGTGCTTAATAAAGACATAAATGAAAGCATATTTAGAACTCTCTCCAATGCATAGACAACGTATTTCTTTACATCTGTTAGGCATTTTTGTCAATAAGTTTTTAATTTTTTAAATTCAATACAACTGTTTATTGAGCACTTAAAACAGTGTCTGGCCCATACATCAGTGACTTAGACACAGTTCCTGTCTTCATAGGGCAGTCATTGTGGTGGGGACATTTTCCAGATCATTAATCTGTCGTTTTCTTATTAAAAGTCTGTTATCGTCTCGTTCTTCCCAAATCTTTGCTGATCTCAACTACTGTATAGATATACTTCTACTTTGTTTTGTGATTTCCCTTTGTTTTTGCTGTTATATTGCACTTTCCAACCCATGTTTTTTGGATGCCTAACACTCTGGTCCTAGTTCACTGTCCTTCTTGATCAGGTACATGTCACCATTTTTCATGGTCAGGACCTGGGACTTGCTATGAAGAAATATTAATGAGTTCTGCTTGTAACCAAGATAGTGTAATAGGGACTGTATTTACCTTTCACCTAAAACATCTACAATCCTGGACAACATAGATGAAATAATGTTTTTTAAAAGTAACACATTAGGCAGTACAGAACAGTAATCTCTGAAAGGGGAAGCAAATGAGATAAACTCTACTGTTGAACCAGCTCACTGCTTAGAGAGTTTCTAGACTTCAGTGCAGAGAGCAAGGACCAAGGTTGAACACAGTGGTTTCACTGAGATGGTTAGATGAAACTAGGACTCCAGAAAAACCAAGGTGAGTAGAGTTCATAGCTGCACACAGAGCTTCAGAAATCTTCAAAGGTCTCCACTGAGTCTTTTTTATTTTTAATTAAAAATTGCTTTATATATTTAGATGTTACAAGTATAGATTTATTACTTGCATATATTACATAGTGGTGATGTCTGGGCTTTTTCATATACCCAAATTTTAGATATAGAGTCATGCATTGCTTAACTGCAGGGATATGTTATTGTGTCATAAGGCGATTCTTATGTCATAGTGTGAACATTATAGACATGTACTTGACAAACCTAGATAGTGTAACCTAAACCAAACCCTAACCTAAGGTATAAGCTACAACCTGTTGTTCCTAAGCTACAAACTGGCTACAGCATATTACTGTACTGAATACTATAGGAAATTGTAACATGGTGATAAGTATTTGTATATGTAATCATAGAAAAGTGTAGTTAAATACTATACAAGAGATGATAAAAAGAGTATACTTATATGGCACTTGCCATGATTGGAGCTTATAGGGCTGGAAATTGTTCTAGGTGAGTCAGTGAATGTGAAGACCTAGGACTATACACTTAGGCCACACTAAATTTATTTAAAATTTTGTTTTTCTTCAATAATAAATTAACCTTAGCTTACTATAACATTTTTACTTTAAGAACTTTTTAATTTTAACTTTTTTACTTTTTAAAAATACATTTAGCTTAAAACACAGGCACATTGTACAACTGTATTAAAATATATTATTTCTTTATATCTTTATTCCACGTGCTTTTGTCCTGTTTTTTAAATTTATTTTTATTTTTACTTTTAGGATTTTTTTTGTTTAAAACTAAGCACAGAAACACACATGTTAGCCTAAGCCTGCACACAAGATCATCAGTATTACTGTCTTTCACCTCCATATATTGTCCTTCTCAAGGTCTTCAGAGGTACTATCACATATGTAGCAGCCATCTGCTGTGATAACAGTGCCTTCTTCTGGAATACCTCCTGAAGGGCATGCTCGAGGCTGTTATACAGTTAACATATTATTTTTTGTAAGGAATGCATTCTAAAGTAATGATAAAACATATAGTGTAATGCATATATGAATAACAGTAATTTATGATCATTATCGAGTATGTACTATACATAATTTTATGTGCTAGACTTTTACACAAATGGGAGTACAATAGGTTTGTTCAAACCAGCATCGCCACAAACATGTAAGTATTGCATTGTAGTATGATGTTACGATGGTGGCTATGATATCAGTAGGCAATAGGAATTTTTCAGCTCCTTTATGATCTTGTGGGACCACCATCACGTATGCAGTCTGTCACTGACTGAAACACTCTTATGTGGTATAGGACAGTACAGCAAAATTAGAAAGATGGTATGAGAGGTCTTATATACCTCATACTCCATTTCCTCTATTACTAACATCTTACATTAGTATGGTACATTTGTCACAAATAATTAACCACACTGATACATTAATTGATGTCTATATTTTATTCAGAATTGTTAGTTTTTACCTAATGCCCTTCTTCTGTTCCAGGATCCCATCCAGGATAGCACATTACATTTAGTCATCATGTCTCCTCAAACTTCTCTTGGCCTTGACAGTTTCTCAGTTTCCTTGCTTTTGATGACCTTGAGAGTTTTGAGAAAGACTGATCAAGTATTTTGTAGAATGTCCCTTAATTGAGATTTGTCTGATGTTTTTCTCATGATTAGACTAGGGCTGTGAGTTTGGATGACGAAACCCACAGTAATAAAGTGCATTTTCAGCACATCATATCAAGGGAATGTATCAACATTTAATCACTGTTGATATTAACCTTGATCACCTGACTGATGTAGTGTTTGTCAGTTTTCTCCACTGTAAAGTTGCTCTCCCCTACCCCCGCATCTTAATACTGTACTCTTTAGGAAGAAGTCACTGTGCTCAGCCTACACTTAAAGTATGGAGTTAAGCTGTACAAGTTAATGTTTTGATATAAATATACATTATGAAATTGTCATGCATAATATATATAAGTATACATTATGAAATAATTGTCACTATCAAGCTAATTAACATAGGGCCCTTCAGTCTTAGGGTATCAGCAAGAACTCCAATTGGTCCTCCTGATGTCTAATCTAATAGTGGTGTTAAGACCTTTCTTTTGACCCCATCAATGTCCACTTTATCCCATTTCTTGTGTGTGTGTGTGTGTGTGTGTGAGTTAGAGTCTCACTCTGTCACCCAGGCTGGAGTGCAGTTCATGGCAGTTCGACCCAGGCTGGAGTGCAGTTCGACCTGCTGGGCTCCAGTGGTCCTTCTGCCTCAGCCTTCCAAGTAGCTGAAACTAAAGGCACACGCTACCATGCCCAGCTAATTTTGGATTTAGTGTAGAGTGGAGGTCTCGCCAAGTTGCCGGGACTAGTCTCAAACCCATGGGCTCAGGCAATCCTCTCACCTTAGCCTTCCAAAGTGCTGGGATTACAGGCTGAGTCACCGAGCCCAGCCTATTTTTCCCATTTCTTAATAACCATTTAAAGATGTACACACTGCTGTGATGAGAGTTCCTTGACTATCTCCTTTGTCTTTCCCCATTTTTCTGTGAACCACTGTAATTTTCTTAGCTTCTGTAAGACCCAAGAGGGAAAACTGAGACAACAAATCTGATACGGCTTCTTGGACATCGCTTGATTTTGCAGCAGTAAAGTTACATGTAGTACCCATGCAAAAGGGGTCCCCTTAATCTCAGTATTTGTCATGACCTGGTATAAGTGCATGAACACTGGATCATTCTAAAGCCAATTCCAGTATCTCAAATATGCAGCATATCAGCTGCTTCATCTGAGGAGTTTCACTTGACATTTAAACTAAGAAAACAATTTTTTATCGCAGAGTATATGAACTTTTTTTGTCTGTTTTTGTGAGTTGGAGTCTCACTCTGTCGCCCAGACTGGAGTGCAGTGGCTGCTCCCGGCCACTGCAGCCTCGACCTGCTGGGCTCCGGTGATCCTTCTGCCTCAGCTTTCCAAGTAACTGGAACTACAGGCGTGCGCTACCATGCCTGGTTGATTTTTTGATTTATTGTAGAGATGAGGTCTCACTGCCCAGGCGGGTCTCGAGCCCACTCACCTCAGCCTCCCAAAGGCGTGGGATTACAAACTGAGCCACCGAGCCCAGCTGAGTATATGAACTTTATGGCAGTTTTTATCCACTTGACTAAGCTAATTATTCCCTCAAGAATGATCTGGCTCCTATCTGGTTCATATACAGCCAACTGTGATTGTTCAATATTAACCCATGGGTCCTGCATCAAATCAAACATAACTTCTCCCTTCTATAGTATTCCAAAGTGATGAGATTGCTCCTAAGTTAATCACTTTCACAGTCCATTTTGGCAAAGGTTCTTTTGGAAGCAGATTATATCAGTCTACAAAAGGAGACCCACTCTTTGATTCTACACTCTTGGGTTCATTCGTTTCTTGGATTTACCCTTTTCTCTGCCACCTAGGCTACCTTTTTTGGTAGTCAGAGGTTATAAAAGTGCTGTTGGAATGTGCGGAGTTTAAACTCAAAGCTCCAAGCTGCTGAGTTAACCCTTTACTGCACAGAGGCATATGGTATTTAATGTGCTTATAGAGCTATTCAATTTTAACTTATATTGTTTACCTTACATTTTTTGCTTCCTGACTTGTTCTGATTAATAGAAGTTTTCCATAGTAACAGGAGGTTGTATCCACCCCACAACACCGGATTGTTTGGCGCTGGGTGTATATTAATTTCCTTATTGCCCGCTCCTATGTTATAACATCCAGTTCCAACCTATTGCTTAATATAGGAAAGAGATCCCCTTTTAACCGTAGTATTTGTCAGAGGGATTTTTTGGAAAACGCCTTTTTATATTCTTATTGCTGACTGGAAATATATTTTCTTTACTATTCCATATATTACCCAGAATTTCCCTTTCAGGGGTTGGTGACATTCGGGGATGTGGCTATAGACTTCTCCAAGGAAGAGTGGGAATACCTAGGCCCTGCTCAGCGAGATTTATACAGAGATGTGATGTTGGAGAACTACAGCTGCTTTGTATCACTGGGTGAGGTCTTGTGTTCCCTGTAATTCTGAAAATGTTTTCCCCACTGGAAATTCTAGGGCTGCATTAAAATTTCTAAACCTCTCTTACCTGTTCCAAAAAAATTGGTTTGCGCTTTGTGTTGTTGAAATAGTATGCTTCTCTCAGGCACCTTCATGTTTTTTCACTGACCTTTCATATTTGTCAGAGGGATTTTTTGGAAAACCCTTTTTTATATTCTTATTGCTGACTGGAAATATATTTTCTTTACTATTCCATATATTACACAGAATTTTCGTATAATTGACTTTCCCTCTTGAGTTTTAAAGAGATAGGTGATGGTGGAAGGACATTGATAGAAGAGACTACGGGATTTAGAATATGATGGCTTATCTGAAGTGTAGGACAACACATATCTTCATGTTTTTGTTTGAAAGCTACAATCTAGGAATTTTGTATTTAATGTTGAGGAGTTTCCTAGGAAAAACCATTCATTATGTCTTGAAGCTTCTTGTTTTTCTTACCAAATAACTAAAAATAGAGCCCGTGTATATTTAAATTTAATTAAGACCTTTCTCCCCTCATTTGTATTTTTGTTCCTTGTGCTCTTCAGGTCAGCTTAATGTGAATATATTCTAACTTCCTCATTCTTTATCCAAAAGCTTTTCTGGGGCCCATTTAAAAATCTTTTTATTTTGAAATGATTTTAAGAGCTAGAACTCATCGGTATACCTAGTGTCTATATAATCTTCAGCCATTTTTTTTCTAATGTTAACAGTTTACACAAGCATAGTACACTTATCTCAACCAGAAAGTGTACACTGGTGCAGTCTTATTGAATTATTTACATTCTTCATTCAGATGTCATTAATTACCCTGGTAGTGTACTTACCTGGGACCCCACATTGCAGCATGTCTCTGTAGTCCTTTCCAACCTTGGAAGTTTTCTTTTTCTTTTATGACCTTAACACTTTTGAGCTGTGCTGGCCTGTTATTACATATAATATTCCTGGATTTGGGTTTATTGTATTTTTATGATTTAAGTGTATATATTTTCAGCAAGAATACTGCAGAAGTGATGCCTTTTTCAGTGCGTCATATGACAAGATAATATATAGTCCATATAGTTTTTGTTGATGCTAATTTTGATTATTGGGTTGAAGTGGTATCCTCTAGAGCTCTGCATTGTAAAACCACTGTCTTTTTCCTTGGAAATCAGTAAATAAATAGTTTGTTGTGAAGTACTTTGAGTGTCTGCAAACATCTGCTTTCTCATTATATTTTCCTCGCTTACTTTAGTTTTCATCAATGATTCCTGCATGCAACAATTGTTTACTGTGATGTTTAGCAAATAGAGATTTTCTATTTTCATCATTCTTCTGAGGAACTGGAATTTACTTTAGGTGAAACCAACTTGAAATCAAAACTTGTTTGTGTATATGTTTATTTTTAATATCCTACTTCATTGAGCAGGACTTGCCACTTCTAAGCCATCAGTGATTTTCCTGTTGGAGCAAGGGAAAGAACCGTGGATGGTTGGAGAAGCAGGGTGGTATGCAGGTGAGTAAGGGTGTTGGGCAGCAACAGAAATGCATTTCAGGGAAGCCCAAACTGGTCAGAGTAGTGATGTCTTTCCTTTGAGATATTGTGTGGATATCTGCCCGCAGAGGCTCCAAGGTCTTGGTAGAAAAAATTTGACAAATGAAGAGAATATTAGAATTTTTACAAAGAACTTACTTTTTTTGGTATAATTGACATAGAATGAACTCAATATATTAAAGGGTACAATTTGACCTATTTTGATATATGCGTATACACTCGTGAAAACTTCACCATAATTAAGAATAAATATATTGATCACTCCCATTGCTTGTGGTCTAAGGAAAAAAAGACTTCAATATTTTATAATTGAATAGGCTGTTTCTTACATCTTTGATTAATGTCCTATACTGGAGAAAGTAAATTTCCCTTCTATACTTAATTTGGTTAGAATTTTTATGATGACTCTGTTGAATCTTGTCAAAAATATTTTCTGCCTCTATCCAAGTGATCATATTATTTGTCTTTGTAAACGTATTAGTGTGTTAACTTATATTAATTGATATTTAAATGTTAAACCTACTTTATTCATGGAGGAAACTCCAGTGGGTCATGTTATATCATGTATTTTATATATGTTATTGGATTATATTTGCTAGTATTTTTAAAGGTTTATTACATTAGTTGTCATGAGGAAAATTTGTACTTTTCTAATGTCCTTTTCCAGTTTTAGTAGCAGGAGACTTGGAGTTATTTCTGTATTCCAGAAGATTTTTTTTTAGAGTTAGCATTATCTCTCCTTGACTGGTAGGATTTAGTGGTAAAACTATTTGGGTCATGTGTATCCTTGGGGCAGTGTGTGTACTACAAATTCAATTTCTGTGATAAACGCAGTTTTTTGTGTTAACTGTTTCTTGAGTGATCTTTGTTAGTTTGTGACTTTCAAAGAATGTATCCATTTTATCAAATTTGTTGTTTGTTCTTTTGGAAGTTTTTTTGTTTTTTTAGATTAGAAAATATAGTGTATTTAGAAAGTAAATTAGAGAGGGAGGGAAAGGAAGTTCACCTCCCTAAGGTAGGGAAGGGAGCCAAAGCTTAGAAAAACATGGCAGCCCAAATTTATTGTTTTTATAGGGATTAAATAGTTCATAATATCTTATTTAATTGTTTAATTATTTATTATTTGTACTGTTTAATTTTAAATTTATGTAGGATTTGTAATTAGGAATGCTTTTTTCCTGATATTTGTATTTTGTCTACTCTTTTTTCCTTGGTAATTTGGCTGTGGGGTTTTTTAAGCTTGCTGATCTTTTCAGTGAACCAGCTTTTGGCTCTGTTAATTGTCTTTATGATGTGTCACTTTTCAAATTCATTGATTTCTGCTCTTATCTTGATTACTTATTTTCCTCTACTGACTATGGGTTTATTTTGTTCTTTTTTACTGTTTTTCAGTAGAGTCTTAAGTCATTTATTACATTGTTCTTCTTTTCTAATGCTTTTGTAATACAAGCATTTAAAGCTATAGATTTCACACTAAGTTCTACCCTTGCTACATCAACACATCTTGATATGGTATTTTTTTATTATTGTTCATTTCTAAATGTTTTCTAATTTCCTGTGTGTATTGTTTATTTTCTAAAATTTTCTGCATGGTTTTAATATTTTTTAGTGTATTAAGGCTCGTTTAATAGCTCAGCACATGGTCTGTTTTAAATGTATATGCGCATTTGAACAGAGTGTACATTCTGCAGTTGTTGATGCTATGTTTTGTAAAAATCAACTAGTCGAAGGTAGTAGACACTGTTACTTATATCCACAATTCCTTTACAATTTTGGTGAGGAAGGCTGGTTTTTCTATCAGTCATTGAGAGATAATTTTTAAATCTCCAACTATGACAATAGAATTGTATATTTCTTTCTTTATTTTGTCTATTTTTGCTTTATATATTTTCAGCCTCTGTTGCTATTCACCTGCACATTTCTGATTATCAAGACTTCCTGATGAACTGGTCCTTTTATCACTATTATAACAAAATTATGTTTGATAATATAGAGTATCTTGAAGTCTTTTATATCTGATACTAACATAACCATTCTAACCATTTTTCTCCAAATTGAATACTAATATTTGAAAGTCATCTAAGCCATTTATTTATTTATTTATTTATTTATTTTGAGTTGGAGTCTCACTCTGTCACCCAGGTTGAAGTGCAGTAGCACGCTCACGGCCACCCCATCATCGACCTGCTAGGCTCTGGCAATCCTTCTGCCTCAGCCTTCCAAGTAGCCAGAACTGCAGGTGTGTGCTACCACACCTGGCTAATTTTTTATTTATTGTAGAGACAAGTTCTCGCCAAGTTGCCCGGGCTGGTCTCGAACCCGCGGGTTCAGGCCATCCACTTGCCTCAGCCCCCCAAAGTGCTGGGATTACAAGCTGAACCATCAATCCTGGCAAAAGCCTTTTATTTCGAAAGAGCACTATTGTCTGTTTGCTTCTGACATACAAATTTTATTTCTCCTAAACAAAATATAATGTTTAATTTTCTTTCAGATTTGCCGTCTAGACATGAGACTGAGGAATTACCTCTCAAGAAGTTCATTTTTGAGGAGGAATTATTAAAATGGAAAATCATAGAAAGAGGCAGAAGTTCTTGCCTTGAGGATTCTTGTTTTGGAAATGATAAGAAATGCAAGGGACTCTTTGAGACACAACAGGAAACTAAAGAGGAATATTTCAGGCATGTAACAGTCCCACTTGAAATAATATCTACTGAAAAGAAAATCTATGAACATAAACAATGTGAAAACCTTACTCAACAGGTAGGAATTCATACCAGTGATGAATTCATACCAGTAATGGAACTTGATGGAATGTGTGGAATGGACACTATATTTTACACAAATCATATGCAACAACAGAGAAACTTTATTGACAACAAATTCAATGATTTTAAGGCATATGACAGAGATTTTTCTTATGACTTTCACCTAACTCAGTATCAAATAAATCATACTAGTAACAAACCCTATAAATGTCAGATATGCTGTAAGACCTTTAGAACGCTTCCCAACTTTACTCAACATAATCAAATCCACACTGGTGGGAACCCATATGAATGCAAAGAATGTGGGAAAGCTTTTATGTCTTCTTCAAGATTAATTCAACATAAGAGAACTCATAGTAATGAGAAACCCTATGAATGTCAGGAATGTGGGAAGACTTTTCGATGGAATGCACATCTTACTCAACATCGAAGAATTCACACTGGTGAGAAACCCTATAAATGTAAACAATGTTGGAAAGCATTTGCTTCTGCTTCTAACTTTAAGAGACATCAGAAAATTCACACCGACAAGAGAACTTATGATTGTAAAGAATGTGGGAAGGCATTTAATAATTGTTCATCTCTTATTCAACATCAGAGAATTCACACTGATAAGAAACCTTTTGTTTGTAAGGAATGTGGCAAGGCATTTAATGACTGCTCATCACTTACTCAACACCAGTTAACTCATACTAATGAGAAGCCTTATGAATGCCAGGAATGTAAAAAGGCTTTTAAGAAACGTGCATACCTTACTCGGCATCAAAGAGTTCATAGTGGCGAGAAACCATATGAATGTAAGGAATGTGGGAAGGCGTTTGCTGGTGTTTCTGCCTTTAGTACACATAAGAGAATTCACACTGGTAAGAAACCCTATGAATGCAAGGAATGTGGGAAAGCCTTTAATTATGGCTCAACTTTTATTGAACACCAGAGAATTCACACTGGAGAGAAACCTTATGAATGTAAGCAGTGTGGTAGGGCATTTTCCTTTCTTTCATCATTTTTTCAACATAAGAGAACACATACTAATGAGAAACCCTATGAATGTCAGGAATGCAAGAAGGCATTTAGGCTGAGAAAACATCTAACTACACATCAAAGAATTCACAGTGGTAAGAAAACCTTTGAATGTAATGACTGTGGGAAGGCCTTCACTTGTGTTTCTTTTTTTACTAGACATCAGAGAATTCACACTGGTGAGAAACCATATGAGTGTAAGGAATGTAAAAAATCCTTTGCTGATTGTTCAAGTCTTAGTCAACACCGGAGAATTCACACAGGTGAGAAACCCTATGAATGTAAGCAGTGTGGGAAGGCATTTACCTCTTTATCAACATTTTGTCGACATAAGAGAATACATACTAATGAGAAACCATACGAATGCCAAGAATGCAAGAAGACATTTAGGCAGAGAGGACATCTAACTACACATCAAAGAATTCACAGTGGTGAGAAACCCTATGAATGTAAGGACTGTGGAAAAGCCTTCACTTGTGTTTCTGATTTTACTAGACATTATAGAATTCACACTGGTGAGAAACCGTATGAGTGTAAAGAGTGTGGAAAATCCTTTAGTGATAGTTCAAGTCTTACTCAACACCGGAGAATTCATACTGGTGAGAAACCTTTTGAATGTAAGCAATGTGGGAAGGCATTTACCTCTTTTTCAGGATTTTTTCAACATAAGAGAATACATACTAATGAAAAACCCTATGAATGCCAGGAATGCAAGAAGGCCTTTAGGGAAAGAGGACATCTAACTACACATCAAAGAATTCACAGTGGTGAGAAACCCTATGAATGTAAAGACTGTGGGAAGGCCTTCACTTGTATTTCTACTTTTACTAGACATTATAGGATTCACACTGGTGAAAAACCATACGAGTGTAAAGAATGTGGAAAGTGCTTTAGTGATAGTTCAGGTCTCACTCAACACCGGAGAACTCACACTGCAAAAAACCTTTTGAATGTCACAGGTGAAAAAGCACCAGAAAATATACATATGAGCTGATGAACCCTATGTATTTGAATGTTATCCTTTATTTAACAGCCCTTATCTAACATCACCAAGTTTATATTGGAGAGAAACTTGGGAAATATAAGATGTGGAAAATACTTTTATCTGTCCTTCACTTATATTGTTACATAAAATAGTTTGTACTGATGAGAAGTCTTGTGAAAGTTAGATGTGTATATAGATCTACTCTTAGACTATATTCAACAGTATATAACTTATAATATTGGTATGGTATAGTACACCCTGATTTTGCAGTTGTCCACCATGGAACAGCAAATAGTTTGTAAGTGAAGAAAATCCAATGAATGGGTAAATTTCTTTTGCCCCATAACTCACAATTTATTCTGTATCAGAATTTATACATGAAAAGTAAAATAGTAAATAGAAATAAAATATTCTGTTACCAGTAAAACATAGTTATATTTGGTGACATCATTACCATAGAGAATTAACATATGTAGACAATAGCCATGTTGACTTTGTGAATGTAGAAAAACCTTTACCTATAATATGAATATTTTCAGCATCATTCTAGTTTCACTGTTTGCCACCTGTATTTTATTACCAAGTAATTTGAATTTTGTGTACTACAGACTACCAATTTTTTGCATTGTGGTATTATTGTGGAAATTAGTGAGTTAATTCAGGCAAACATCTTTGAAATAGTTACTAGAAAATAAAAACTATTCAGTAAATACTGGCTTTCATCATTGTTTTTATCACCTTTATTGCTACTCTTGGGACATTCATATAAAAACAATTTTACAAATCTTTTTTTTTTTTTTTAGAATTGGGGTACAAGTGCATGTTTGTTAAATGGGCATATTATGTAGTGGTGGGGATTGGGTCTCAGGTGGCCAATTCACCAAATAGTAAATAATGTAACCAGTATGTAATTTATGATCCCTAAACCTCTCCCTGCCTCTCCCCTTATTGGTGTCCCCAATGTCTGTTATTTCCATCTTTGTGGCCATTTAGCTCCCATATATAAATGAGAACATGTTGTGTTTGGTTTTCTGTTTCCGACTTAGTTCACTTAGGATGATGTTTTCCAGTTCCACTCGTATTGCCTTAGAGGACGTGATTTCATTGTTTCTTATGGCTGCATTATATTCCATGGTGTTTTTGTACCACATTATCTTTATGCAGTCATTCACAACTGTGAATAGTGCTGTAACGAACAGCTGAGTACAAGTATCTTTTTAATATAATGACTTGTCTTCCTTTGGGTGTATCCCTAGTAGTGGGATTGCTGGATCAAATGGTATTTCAGTTTTTAGTTCTTTGAGAAATCTGTATACTTTTTTCCATAGAGGTTGAACTATATCCCCACCAACAGTAGGAAAGTGTTCTTTTTCTCTACTACTGTGCCAACATCTGTTGTTCTTTGACATTTTAATAATAGCCATTCTAAGTTGGTATTTCATTGTAGTTTTAATTTACATTTCTCTGCTGATTAGTGATGTTGAACATTTTTTCATAAGTTTGTTGGCCACTTATATGCCTTCCTTTGAGAAGTGTCTGCTCATGTCTTTGCCTACTTTTTGATGCATCTGTTTTTTCTTTTTATGTTAAGATGTTTGAGTTCCTTGTAGATTCTGGATATTAGTCCTTTGTATTAAGCATAATTTGCAAATATTTTTCCCATTCTATAGGTTTTCTATTTACTCTTATTTCTTTTGCTGAACAGAAGTTTTTTAGTTAATTAAATTTCATTTGTTTGTTTTTGCTGTTGTCACAATTGCTGTATGGGAATATTTTGCTCTATATTGGAGAATATTCCTTGTAGAGAGGAGAAGAATGTATATCCTGCAGTTATTAGTTGGCAAGTTCTACAAATGTTTGTTAGGTCCACTTAGCAGTGTTTAAACCAACAACAGTAAAAAAGACAAAAAGGGACATTATATAATGATCAAGGGTTCAATTCAACAAGATTTAACTATCTTAAACATATATGTATGAATCGGGTACAGTGGCTCATACATGTAATCCCAGGACTTTGGGAGGTCGAGTTTATTTATTGATTTTCTGCTTCGATGATCTGTCTAATTATGTCAGCAGGGTGTTGAAGTCCCACACTATCGTATTGATGTCAATATGCTTTCTAAGGTCAAGTAGTGTTTGCTTCATGAATGTGGGTGCTCTGATGTTTGACAATTTTTTTTTTTCAGTTGTTGTCTCATTCTGTTGCCCAGGCCTCAGTGCAGTGGAACAATAATGGCTCACTGCAGCCTCAACTTCCTGGGCTCAGGCAATCTTTCTGCCTCAGCCTTCAAATTAAAGGCACATGCCATAACATCTGGCTTATTTTTTTATTTTTTTGGTAGAGATGAGGTCTTATTATGTTTTCTAGGCTAGTCTCGAACTCCTGGGCTCAAACAATCCTGTCTCAACCTCCCAAAGTCCTGGGATTATACACATGAGCCACCGCACTGACTCATGCATCTATGTTTAAGATAGTTAAATTTTGTTGAATTGCATCTTTCTTTGTTATACAATGCCCTTTTTTGTCTTTTTTACTGTTGTTGGCTTAAAGTCTGTGTTATCTGATATGAGGATGACTATTGCTGCTAGTTGTTGTCTTCCATTCACATGATACGTCTTTTTCCACGCATTTGCGTTGAGTCTGTGGCTGTCTTTGACCAGTAGGCGGATCTCTTGTAGGCAGCAGATGGTTGGGTATTTTTGGTTTTTTTAATGCAGTTTGCATTCTGCGTCTATTAAGTGGCATGTTTAGGCCATTTATGTTCAGGGTTAATATTGATATGTGATATTTTGTTCCTGCCATAGTGTTGTAAGCTAGCTGCCTTGAGATTTCAAATGCATAGTTGCTTTATAGAATCTGTGAGCTTTGTACTTAGGTGATCTTATTATAATAATGAGTATAGTTGTTTCACTTCCATGTTTAGAACTCCTTTGAGCATCTATAGTGGAGCTGGTTTAAAATCTACCGTTACAACTTGTCCTCTTGGAAATCTATGATTTATTCTGGAATGAAAATTATTAGAATATAGAAAGTATAATGAAACATTCATTTAAACTTATTTAAGTTCAATCAGAAATTCATTTTGGAAACTGAGTGGATGTATTATGTAAATCTTTTTTAGAGTAAATGTGATATCAGAAGTGATACGTCTCTAGCAGGTTTCAAAAAGTAATGGACATTTTCTGAGGCTAGCTAAAGACAATGAGATATTAACAAAAGGTGAATTTAAAAAAAACTTTACAGTTTATAAACACCCTTATATAATTATTGTATTAAGTGAAAAATGCCATCTGAAATAACAGAATTTTTAGAGTCTTCCATAATAAAACCTGATCTGTTTACTTCATTTGAATAAATAGGTAAATCCAAAGCAATTCTGGAAATATGTTACATAAATTAATTTGTTCATTCAATGAATTTAAGTGAATTAAGAAGAGAAATAAATGAAATTGATAGACAGTAGGCTTTATTTAAAAGCTGTTTGAAACAGCCAGTAATATAGACTAGATTTTTCCTAGTGTGATTGAGATATATAAATTAAGGATGCAAATGTAGCAGTGCAAATGGGAATGTGGAAATTTTACAGGCAGTAAATTTTTAATATTATGAAATATTTGAAATTTTTAGTTCTGTAATATTTCAATTAGATTTAAAATATCCATAGTAGGCCATTGCTTGGTTAAACTCTGCTGTCTCCACATGGTTCTTTGAGCTATAGCCACCATGTTTTCTTAGTTTGGCCCCCTCACCTACTTTGGGGAGGTGAATCTTCTCTCTCTCTCTTTCTCTCTCTCTCATTTACTTTCTACCTAAACTTTGCTTGAAAACTTTGCTGATCACTCTAAAATTCATTTTAGAAACAAGCCAAAGAATCCGCAGGTTTGCATCATACCCCACCCGGCATCAATTGTGATATCTACTAAAATGATTCCTATTTTATAATTTTGGAGTTGGCTCAGTTTTCAGCAATTATGAATAAACCTGCTATAAACATTTATGTGCAGATTTTTATATGGACAGAAGTTTCCAACTCATTTGAGTAAATATCAAAAAGCATGATTGCTGAATCATATGGAAGGAGAGATCCCTGCTGTGTAGCTCTACCTGGCAGCCCTCATGAGCCTGTACTACCTTGTGCACTGGTACCCAGATAGGCAGGTAGTAAGCCAGATAAATTCCTGCTCATTATGGGCTGTGACTCGAGCTTCTGGAACCTGCTGGCCGGATAGCTGGACAGGACGTTTCTGATTCTCCACCTGAGCAAGGATAATGCTGGAGAAGGACATCCCCTCACCATGTGGCTCTACCTGGTGGCCCTTGTGGGACTGTACTACCTTGTGCACTGGTACCAGGAGAGGCGGGTGGTGAGCCACCTACAAGACAAGTACAAGTTCATCGCAGGCTGTGACTCGGGCTTTGGGAAACTGCTGGCCAGACAGCTGGACGCACGAGGCTTCAGGGTGCTGGCTGTGTGTCTGACGGAGAAGGGGGCTGAGCAGCTGAGGAACCAAACATCAGCCTGGTTAAAGACAGTGATCCTGGACGTCACTAAGAGCGTCGCTGCTACCAGAGTGCATCGCTGGGTGAAGGAGCATGTGGAGGACAGAGGACTCTGGGGCCTAGTCAACAATGAAGGCTTTATTCACCCATTTGCCTGCACTGAGTGGCAGAGAACTGAGGACTTCATTACTGTCTTCAAAGTGAAGACAGTTGGCTTGATCAAGGTGACCATGAGCATGCTTCTCTTGGTGAAGAGAGCATGGGGGAGGACTGTCAATGTCTCCAGCATTCTGGGTAGAATTGCTTTCTTTGGAGGAGTCTGTTGTTCCTCCAAGTATGGAGTAGAAGCCTTTTCAGATGTTCTGAGGCCTGAGCTTCATTTTGGAGTGAAAATTAGCGTGGTTGAACCTGGCTACTTCAGAGCAGGAATGACAGGCATGCAGCAGTCCTTAGAGAAAATGAGACAAGTCTGGGAAGAAGTGCTTATGCATATCAGGGAGGCCTATGG